GCAACGAGAAGCTCATGATCTGAGCCACAGTCAGCTCCTGGTCTTGTTTTTACTGACTGTATAGAGCTTCTCCATCTTTGGCTGCAGAGCACATAGTCAATCTGATTTCTATGTTGACCGTCTGGTGATGTCCATGTGTAGAGCCGTCTCTTGGGTTGTTGGAAAAGAGTGTTTGTTATGACCATCGTATTCTCTTGACAAAATTCTATTCAGCCTGTGCCCTGCTTCGTTTTGTACTCCAAGGCCAAACTTGCCTGTTATTCCGGTTATCTTTTGGCTTCCTACCTTAGCATTCCAATCCCCCATGATGATAAGGACATCATTTTTTGGTGTTAATTCTATAAGGTGCTGTAGGGCTTCATAAAACTGGTCAATTTCATCCTCTTCAGCACCAGTGGTTGGGGCATAGATTTGGACTATTGTGATATTGAATGGTTTGCCTTGGATTCGAATTGAGATCATTCTGTCATTTTGTGGATTGTATCCCAGTATTGCTTTTCCTATTCTTTTATTGACTATGAAGGCTACTCCATTTCTTCTGAGGGATTCTTGCCCACAGTAGTATACCTGATGGTCATCTGAGTTAAATTCACCCATTCCTGTCCATTTTAGTTCGCTGATTCCTAAGATGTCGATGTTCAGTCTTGTCATCTCTTTTTTGACTACGTCTAGCTTGCCTTGATTCATGGATCTTACATTCCAGGTTCCTATGGAGAAAAAATCTTTACAGCATCGGACTTTCCTTTCACCACCAGATATATCCACAGCTGAGTGTCCTTTCGGCTTTGGCCCAGTCGCTTCATTCTTTCTGGCGCTACTAGTACTAGCCCTCTGCTCTTCCCCAGTAGCATATTGGACACCTTCCGACCTGAGGGGCTCATATTCCAGCGTCATATCTTTTTGCCTTTTAGTACTGTCCATGGGGTTTTCATGGCAAAGATACTGGAGTGGTTTGCCATTTCCTTCTCCTATAGAACCTTTTAATGAGTCTGTCAGTTTTCACATTGCTAGACTTCACCCAAGTGGCTTCAGACAGCGAATATCCCTTCCATTGTACTAAGTACTGCAATTTCCCTTTAAAAATTCTAGAATCAAGAATACACTTTACTTCATAGTGGGTCTGACCTGCCACCACGAGGGGTCTGGGCGCTTTCTTAGGTGGAGGTCTTAAAGTGGAACCCTGAAAAGGTTTCAGCAAGCTGCAATGGAAGACAGGATGAACTCTCCCTAAAAGTTTTTAATTTTTAATTCTACGGTGAGCGGGTTAATGATCTTTACAATGGGGAAAGGCCCCAAGAATTTTGGTCCTAATTTCTTACTGGGTAATTTGAGGCATAAATATTTAGTTGACAGATAAACCTTTTCCCCAAATTGGAATGTTCTTTGAGGAGCTCTTTTTTTTATCTGCCTGCTTTGTGTAAGTCTTGTAAGTCTTTTTTAAAGCAGTTTTCGTGTTTTCCAAACTTCTTCCCACCCCCTCACCCATTGATCAAGTGTCTGAGAAGCAGAGGGTGCCTGTGGCTATTCTGAAAGGCGTGAACAGAGTTATTGTAAGCCACCTCTGCGAAAGGGAGGAGGTCGGTCCAGTTGGTCTGTTGGTAGGAAACATAGCATCTAAGATATTGCTACACCATTTTGTTAGCGGATTCCACAGCTCCATTAGTAGATGGACGAAAAGCAGATGACAGACCTTGTGATGATCCGATTAATCTAAGAAAGCTCCTCCAAAACGTAGCTGTAAACTGCATCCCCGAAATTATTCTTTGAGGGGCGGCATGAAGCCGGTAGATATTTTTCAAGAACAATTTAGTCAGTCGTTGGGCAGATGAGAGTCCTTTGCAGGTGATGAAGTGAGCCTGATTTGAAAACAGCTCTACCACAATCCAGGTGACTATATTTCCTCTACTTTCAGGTAGGTCTACTATAAAATCTGTAGTAATTTCTTCCCATAGTTGAGAAGGGTCTGCCACTAGTTGCAATAACCCAGGGGGTTTCCCTGGAATTCTTTTCATGGTGGCACATACAGTACAACTCCGGACATAATTTTCTATGTCCTGTTTTAATCCCGGCCACCAGAATTGCTGGCGGATAAGATGTAGAGTTTTTAAATATCCAAAGTGTCCCGCCTGTTTTATGTTATGGCCATTTTGGAGAGCGTTAAGACGGAGGATTTCTGGCAAGTATAACTTTCCTCCCTTTCAAGTCAAACCATCCCTGCAAGTTAGGGAGATTTGATTGTCTTTGAACCATTGGTCGGTGAGGAGCTCTTGTTTTATTTTCTTTGCCCCAGGGTAATCAGGATTAGGGGCTCTTCGAGGTGTGATTTGAGCAGCAGTTTGTGGAGTGGAGATAATTGCCTCATTAACCTCCTCACATTGGCTTTTGTACTGGGGCAGTCTGGATAGAGCGTCAGCTAGGAGGTTTTTCCCTCCCGGTATGTACTTTAGAGTGAAGTTAAAACGGTTAAAGTACTGTGCCCATCACACTTGTTTCGGGGACAATTTGCAGGGAGTTTTCAGTGCTTCTAGATTTTTGTAATCAGTCCATACTTCAAAAGGCACTTTGCTCCCTTCTAGGTAGTGCCCCCAGTTTAACAGGGTTGTAAGGTCCCACTTTGGTTCTTTTGCAATAGTACAGCTCTGACGGCCACGTTGCTGGCGTCGGCTTAAATTAGAAAGGGCTCCCTTGGGCAGGGGTGCTTTAGGACCGGTTCAACAGCAAATAGTCTTTTTAAATTCTCAAAAGCGGTTTGACAGCTCATGCTAATGGTTGGCCTGGTCGTGGCTTCCTTGCCCTTTCCCTGTTTTGAGTAATTCTGTAAGGGGTAGTGCAATTTCGGCAAAGGAGGGGATGAATTGACGGTAGAAGTTAGCGAAACCTAGGAAACTCTGGAGCTGTTTGCAAGTCTTTAGGGGCTGCCATTCAATTACGGCTTTCACTTTGGTCGGGTCCATTTCAATGCCTTCGTTGGAAATTCTATAGCCAAGATAATCTAACTGGGTCTGATGAAACTCACATTTTGACAGTTTGATGTAGAGCTTGGCATTTATAGTTTCTTTAACACTTCTCACTAGTTTTACATGATCAGTCATATTTGTGCTGTATATCAGGATGTCATCAAGATACACCAAAACCCCTTTGTATAAGTGGTCATGTAGGACTTCATTAATCAGCTGCATGAATACGACTGGGGCCCCCTATAGTCCAAATGGCATGACTTTGAATTGATAGCTCCCCATGGGACAGTTGAAAGCAGTCTTCCACTTATCTCCCTTATCTTCACCCAGTAATATGCTTCTCTCAGATCTAATTTAGTGAAGACACTCCCCTTAGGCAGGTGGATTAGTAAGTCCTTCAGGAGGGGGAGGGGGTATTTATTTTCCACACTCACCGTGTTGAGACTTTATAATCGCAGATATTTTTTTCTTTAAACAACACAGAGGCTCCCATAGCAGACTTGGCCCGTTCAATGAATCGCCTCGCTAGGTTTTTGTCCACATATCGCTGCATCTCCTCCATATAGAGGGGGGATATGGCGTACATACTTGGTCTTGGGAGTTTGGCTCCCAGCAATAGTTCGATGCAGCAATCATTGGGTCAGTGGGGATGCAGGGCATCACATTCTCACTAAATGCCTCCACTAGATCCCGGTACTCGCTGGGGATAAGTGGCTTGCCTGGTGGTGGTGAGGCAGCAATATGCACTCACTCATTGGGTGGGCTAAAGTTTCCTGTGAAACTTGAATCAATGGGAGGCTTGGGCCCTATAGGTAGCTCACAGTTCTCATTCCCTTCTCCCACTAGATAAATGGCTTCCATTTGTCCAACCATGCTAATCCTAGGATCACAGCCTCAGTCATTTTTGGAGTCACCAGGAAGTGAATAAACTCCCAGTGTTCACCTATTTCTAAGCATAGGGGCTCAGTTAATTGCGTGACTAAAGTCCCTCCCATCAGGGAGACATCAGCTTGCTCAAACCTCATGGGTTTGGAGAGCAGCTTTGCTCGTATGCCAAATTTCATGGCAAATGGCAAGCTAATGACGCACTGGAGCTTCCAGAATAGACTAGCACTTTTAAATCTACCTGTGCCCCCGTCTTAGGGATTATGAGTTTGGCAGGTAGAAAAAAAGGTGGGACGTTCAACTCACCATTGTCACTATCATAAATGGGTAGAGCAGCGGCGGGTCCAGCCTGAGTCCTGGCATTCTCCTGCGTGGGGGACGTGACTTGGGCAACAGGTTCCTATGTGATCCGGTTGGATTACTCTCTCATTGGCTGCTGGGGTGGTCTCTTTCTCGCTGCTGGTCCTGTTCTACTCTGCTGTTGGAGGCAGGGGACTGGGCAGTTTGCTGCTTGATGTCCCTGCTGTCCGCATCAGAAACATTTGATCGTTGGGCCTGCAGGTGGCCTGGGACTTTCAGCAGCCACAGCAGTTGGGGGTTTTCGGGAATGGCGACCACCCCCCTGCTGCTGCTGCTATCCTCCCACCGATTGTTAGTCTCCTGGTATCTGTATCACGCCAGGTTGTTGCAAGGCCTCCATCAGCTGCTGCATACTCAGGGGCTGCGACCCCCCTGCTGTTGCACCAGCAGAGACTGCTCACCTCCCATCTGTGGGGGCTGTGGTTTCCCTCACTCCTGTATGGGGCCCGGGCTGGGTGGTAGATAAGCACGTTGGTCTGGGGATTGGCTGTCCCAGCGACGGCCTGAGCTCTTATCTTATTGACGGCAATCTGGGCTTTGGAAGGGACGACTGGAGCTGTCCCTCCCTGCAGGGCTGGAGGCCCTGGTAGGGGGCTTTGAGGAGAGGAAGGCTGCCTGATCTGCAAAGGAGGGGCTGGGGGATCCCTTTGGTAGGAGTTGGTGGTTGCCTCATCATCCTCCTGATCGCTGGCGTATGGAGAACAGGTTGCTCTACACTTCTCATCTCTAGCTCCTCGAATCTTTCCACCAACTTCTCCACTAACTGACTATGAGCTGCAGACAGGTACTTTCACTCACCTGAGTCCTTAGCGGCAGACAATTTTGTAGTTCTCCACCAGTCTGGGGAACGCGACATGCGGGAATCCCTTTGTGGTAGCTCAACTTCGTCTGCCTTTGAAGCACTTGAGGGTGGCAAGGCCGTCTCAAGGCGTCTGGAGTCTCCGCTGGGCTGGGCCTATTCCAATGACCAGATCAGCTGTCCTCGCAGCTTGGGCTTTGCCCCAGCTGGGAGGCCTGAAAAAGCTCTTTTTCCACTGGTGCGCTGGCTGTCGCTCCCCTCACTGGGGTAGCAGCTGCTGCCGGGGTGCTGGTTTCAAGGGTTCTCTCTTTCTCCATGCTGAGATCTTCCCCAAATCTTTATCAGCTTATCCCTCAATTCTAGGGACAGCAACTGGGGCTCAGGACCCCTAGATAGTTAGGAAAAAGTTGGAGTTTTTGGCTTATTCTTTATTTGAGTAGCATGGAATCGGCACTAATACAGTCAAAACCAAAAACTAGATTCCCCTCCCCTGAGCCCATAGTATCAAAGCACAATTCTCTCTTCCAATTAACAGCCAAAAATCACATTCTCCAATTAGTTTGAAATGCAGGCTCTCCCTCCATTTTTCCAACCCACTAATTCTTATCATCTCTTATTTCATTAACCTTGGTTCACACACTAAGTCCAGTATTATATCTATCTAAACTCTCATGCACAATCCTCACCCCCCAGCATCATCTAACTCTAAGAGTAAAAGTAAAACATAAGAAAAAAATGGTTGCATCTCTAACTGTTGTCAAAGTAAAACATCCGATGTTAGCAGTGTTGACAGAGGCTTCATTGAGCCAGCTAAATCCCAGGTGGGGACCCCGGTGTTATTCAAGGAAAAAAAGCATGGGCTGCTGAGGCTCTGCGTGGATTAAAACGGGTTAAATGCTGTGAGTGTGGAGAATAAGTACACCCTTCCCTCCTGAAGGACCTACTAACCCTTTCAGCACAGGGTCGTATCTTCATCAAATTACACCTAAGAAACATACTACTGAATAAGGATAAAAGGAGATGAATGGAAAATTGTTTTTAACTGTCCAATGGGCAGCTATCAATTCAAAGTTATGCCATTTGGACTACAAGGAGCTCCAGCTGTTTTCATGCAGCTGATTAACCAGGTGCTACATGACCATCTATAGTACAAAGGGGTTTGGGTGTATCTTGATGACATCTTAATCTATAGCAAGAATATGACTGACCATGTGAATTTAGTGTGAGAAGTACTAAAGAAACTACTAGATGCTAAACTATATGTTAAATTATCAAAGTGTGAATTCTACCAAACCCGACTAGATTATTTGGGCTACCGGATCTCCAGTAAGGGTATAGAGATGGATCCTGGAAAAGTGAAAGCCATAATGGCAACCCCCAATGACTCGAAAGCAGCTTCAAACTTCTATCAATTCATTCCTTCTTTTGCTGAAATTGCTTTACCTCTAACAGACTTATTAAAAATGGGGAAAGATGGGGGAAAGCCATGATCGGGCCAACCGCTAACGTGGACTATGAGCTGTCAAACTGCTTTTGAGAATTTAAAAAGACTTTTTGTGGCCGAGCTGAGTTTAAAGCACCCGTCTGGGGGAACCGTTTGTGATTCAATCTGATGCTAGCGATGTAGCAGTTGGAGCAGTACTTTTGCAAAAGAATAATATGGGGGTCTTGCAACCCTACGCTACACATCAAAAAAAATCACTGATTGCAAGAGGAGGTAGGCAGTTTGGGAGAAAGAAGCTTTTCCTATTCGTTGGGCTCTGTTAACCTGGCGGCACTACCTGTAAGGGAGCAAGGTGCCTTTTGAAATATGGACTGATCACAAAAACCTAGAGGCACTGAAAACTCCTCACAAACTTTCCCCCAAACAAGTACATCTCCAGCAGGATGGCTGTAGAGTCCAATGGATGGGTTCTATGACAGCCTTCCTGCCCGGCAGACTGGGTAAAAACTTTGGCCACACCCTTCCTTTGGGCGTGACCCCAGTTTTGACTCAGTCTCGAAGCCCGTTGGCAGTGCGAGAATTAGCTCCTGAGAAATTCATTCAAAAAAGCAGATTCTTTCCCTTTCCCTCGATTCTCTAATTTGGCAACAAGCAGAGAGTCAATCTAATCTACTGGCTCGGGGCTCCGAGCGGTTACCAGATCTCCATTTCCCGGACGATCGACGGAGTGGTGAGAGTATCCCCAGGGTCTAGGGCCTCTATCTAGGGGAATCGAGCCGCTTTACTCACGAGCGCTCGCCGGGGCTCCGGTGCGCAAACCAGCTGACCGGCGCGAGGAACCGCAGCCCGAGCGGCCGACAGAGCCGCTGCGCCGCTCGCCCCATCAGCGGAAAGGCGCAGGCCTTTGAAGCCCGATAGGGGCCGCTTAGCCGATTTCTTCTATCGGCGCTCCAGGGAGGCTAGAGTAATAGGCGCAGACCTCTCCCTTCTCGGATACAGGGACCTCCCAGTCTCCTACAATACCCGTGGGGACCCGGGGGGGGGGGTGCTGGCGCAAGTTTTCCTCTCTCTGGGCCTTCTAAGTGAATTGCCTCAACAGTTAGGATCCGCCATATTGAGCCTCGTGGCTCCATCCTCAGCTTACTGTTGGGAGGCGTGGCTTCTTCTCAGTCGCCATTTTGGCGGGTATAGTTAATCCGGAGTTTTTTCTTTGCCTTACAGAAGAGATAATTTGGTAGTAATTGCCTGACCACTAATACCTTCAATCTATTGAATACAAAGGGAAGGGAGGAAAGAGCGAACTACTCATTACTAACCGTGGTCTGTTTTCACAGCCACAGCTTGGGGAAAACATTACCAATTTTACAATTGTACTTCTATTAGGTCTGGGACCCTGTCCATTGACCTTGGTGAAAGAGGTGAGGAGGAATAAATTCTATCTAACTGTTCCTGTTGTGACCTTTAGTCACTGCCCTACAGGGTCCTCCTTCTAAAGGAACCTGTCTGTCCGGCCATTGTTTTCTGTGCAGAAGAGGGCTCTAGTCCCCAATTATCTGCAACTGATCTGCGTACCTTATTCCCCCACTCCAGGTATTGCCTACTCGGGGTACCTGGCACAATGGCAGACAATGTCTCGTATTCAGCTATGCAGGTCCCCCAATTGTCCCCCCCACAACAACAACAAAAACGCAGATCCTCTGAATCTGAGGTGGGGGGGGGAAGAAGAAAGCTAAAACAAAGCACCTTAACCAAAAGGGACCATCCAAAACAGCTGAGCGAGAGGCCTCGAGGAGACATTTGGCTCTAGAAAGACAATTTGCCAGGGTCCAGAAGGCCAACTCCAATGTGACGAACATGGTTTCCCCTCTCCCATTGGTGGGCCCCACGGCAGAACCAACTGCCCAGGAAGTTCTCAAAACTTGGTCTCCTCCCGGGGAAACCGAACAGTTGGATTCCTCCAACTCCTCTTCACCAGCATCTACACCAGATCATACTCCCACTGTAGCTACGTCCAGTGACAGAGCTCAGGAGGACATATGGTTGGCCCAATTTCAGGCATTCATGCAGAATGCTTTCTCCCAGTTTATGGCTTCTAAGGGCCAAGTGGCTTTTCATACACCCCATAAGGGACGAAATAGGGCTCCGCCTACTAACATTTCTGAGACTTCCTCTCAGATAGGAGAGGGAGACTCATTAGATCTAGACATGACAGACATGCCCCTTTCGGAGGATGAGGGGACCGCACCTGAGCAGGCGATGAGCTCTGGCCTCTTTGATCCAGCGCTTCTCAAATCACTTCTGATAAAGGCAGTCTCTACGGTCAATTTGACCTCAGTCCAGGAGGAGAAGCCTTCCACAAGCAAGGAGGCGAATCCTCTCTTTGCCAAAAAAGTCCCACAGGACAAATACATTCCCTGTCCGGAGGTCTTCCGCACCACGGTAGAGGAACAATGGGTTTCCCTCGCAAGTCCACCTGCACCCAATAGCGTAGAAAGGAAGCTATTCAATGTCTCTCCTTCCTTTTCGGGTACGCTAGAGGTCCCTACAGTAGATAGTCCTCTGATCTCATTATTTTCTACCTCTGCGATTCCAGGAGACATGGCTGAGGCCTTGAAACCAGAGGAAAAGAAATTTGAGCATTCCCTCCGTCGTTCCCACATGGCCGCAGCCTGGGCGGCCAAGGCAGCAACATCATCGTCCTTCTTCGCCAGGGCCTGCATCATGTGGCTGCGGGAGCTGCAAAACACTATATCTCCAGATCAGGTCAGAGCGCACCAAACTTTGGCCAAGATTCTGGCGGCCTCTCAATTTATGGCTGACGCTTCACTGCATGCAACCAAGTATGCGGCAAGATCCATTGCGGCCACAGTGGCTTCTCGTAGACTACTGTGGCTCAAAAATTGGAAGACAGATCTGAAGGCCAAGTGGCGTCTCTCGTTGTCCAATTACAGTGGGTCATTATTATTTGGATCCATCCTGGATCCACATGTAAGCGAAAGCAGAGATAAGAGAAAAATCCTAGTACACCCATCAAAGAAATTAGACAGAAGAGGCACTCAGGAGTTCCGGAGACAAGGTTTCCGCCCAAGCAACCCCTGGGACTGGAGACAGCCCTTTCGGTCAGGGCAGTCCTGGGACTGGCCTAGAGGCTCACGATCCTTCTACTCAAGGCAGGATCGTCCCCAGGATCGCCAAAACATGGGAGCCAGAGGCCAGTTCCAGTCCAGGCGTCCCTTTAGAGGATCGGGAGGTCGATCCTTTAAATGCGCCAAGTGACGCCAGACAGGACACTCCTATAGGAGGTCGGTTAGGGAATTTCATCGAGGTCTGGGAGCAGACCACTACCGACGCCTGGGTCTTGGAGACGATCAGGCATGGCCTGACCTTAGACTTTTGTTCTCCCCCATCAAACCGGTTCATCAGATGTCCCATCTCCAGAAAGGCACACAAGGCAAGGTTGGTAACTTCGGCCATAGCTCACCTCCTGTCAATTCAGGCCATAGAGAGGGTACCAAAAGGAGAGGAAGGAAGAGGATTTTATTCCATCCTCTTTGTGATCCCAAAGACATCCGGAGGGTGGAGAGCAATATTGGACCTAAAGGACCTGAATTATTACGTAAATTACAGGAGGTTCAAGATGCAGTCCTTGAAATCCATCCTAGCCAGCGTCAGGAAGGGCGACCTCCTGTCCTCAATAGATCTCACGGAGGCGTACCTGCATATCCCCATTCATCCCAGATACCGGAAATTCCTCAGATTTACCTACGCGGGCCGGCATTACCAATACAGGGCCCTACCCTTCGGGCTATCCTCAGCCCCAAGGGTATTTACCAAGATCCTAGCTGTAATAGCGGCCCATCTCAGGCTGATGCCGGTACCGTACAGTTTTATCTGGACGACATCTTGATTCAGTCCAGCTCGCAGGAGCAAGCAAAGGTAGACCT